TACCACTTAAGACCCAAAATTATCAAGAGTCTTTGAAATGTAGTTTTGTATGTAGTGTCAACTAGCATTAATGAGCTCAAAGTGTAAACTATGTCTGGAAATAGTAGCTGAAAGTAGCACATATTTATTATTTTTTAAATGCAAATCCCTATATTGGAGTTGATCAGTCAACAATGTTTCCTATAATGGCGCACAGTCTTGGAAAGTTTGGGGACCTTTGGAGACCCACCTAAACAATGTGGGTATTCTAATCATCACTCTCTTTCGAAAGCTTCCTTACAGAATTTTTTGTACAATTATAAAAGCACCAAAAGGGAGAGTCATCAAGATGTTTTCAAGGACACATCCAATTTGGTAGATTCATAAATATCATTTATTAGAGGGCTTGATATTCTCTTGGGGTTTCCTCCAGCACTCTCTAATGTAGGGGTTCTCAACCTGTGGGTTGTGACCCCTTTGTAACAGTGAAAATACATTGTGGCATTAGGAAGGTTGAGAACCACTGCTCTGATGGAACTTTGTGCCATTACAGAAGGGTTCCCTGTCTGTGTTGTCCAGTATGGTAGCCACTGGTTACATGTGGTCATCAAACAGTTGGAATGTGGCTAGTGTGACTGAGAAAGTACAGTTGAAATTTTATTTAATCTTAATTAATTTAGAACACTTAGTAATCACCTGTGGCTAATGCCTATAGTATTGGGTCACTTCATTCTTGAGAAAGATTACTGAACCCCTTCTAAGACTCCCCGGCACTTAGCACAGTGCCTGATAGGTATTTGTCAAATGAAATAGGAAATCAATAAATGTAGCAGATGAGGCCTGACAATTAAGTTCATGAACTTGCCGCCGTGGGCACTTATGTTGGCACTGTACAAAGAATTAGGTAAAGTTTCACAATCTTGCTATGTCACCGTCTCACAGCTGTGTTCATGTCAACATGTGGCAACATTCATTATTATTGTGAGAATGTTGGAGGTTGGATTAGAACAATGAACGAACATTAAATTTCTTGTCAACTTTGGCAAGAGTGGAAGTGAAATCAGGGACTTGTTAGTTGAAGTTTATGAAGTTAGTCCATGAAGAAAACAGCAGTGTACAAATGGGACAGAAAGTGTCACTGCTGAAGAGAGGTCAGTGCAGCCAGTAACAAGCAGAACCAACACGAACTTTGCAAAAGTTTGTTGAATTGCGTGTCAAAATTGTCGACTGGCTGTGAGAAGCCTAGAAGACCAAATAAACACCAGTAGAGAAACAGGAAAATCTTAACTGAAAGTCTTGGCATGAGAAAGGCGTGTGCAAAAATGGTCCCGAAGGAGCTCACTGATGAACAAAAGCAAAGGAAAGTTGAAGTTTGCCAAGACCTTTTGGAGAGGCAAGACAATATTTTGGGCTGTTGATGAAGCTTGGGTGTATCAATACGACCCTGAAACAAAGTGTCAAGTGTACAAGGAAAGTCAGCCAATTCTCCACCACCAAAAATGTTCCATTAGTCCAAATCAAGGGTCAAAACAGTGTTGCTAACCTTTTTTGATATCAGAGGGGTTTTTCATTCTGAATTTATACTAACTGGACGGTTAACCAAGTTGACTATTTGTAAGTGCTGAAAAGTCTGCATGAAAAATTTAGATAAAAGCAACCTGAACTTTTGGCCAACAACTCAAGGCTCTTATATCCCGACAATGGACCAGCTTATATAGCACAGTCCGGAGGGAATTTTTAGCCAGTAAACAAATAACTGTATTGGAACAGCTTTCTATTCACCTAATCTGGCCCCCAGTGACCTTTTTCTCTACCCAAAGATAACAGAAATATTGAAAGAAGACATTTTGATGACATTCAGGACATCAAGGGTAATACAACCTAGCTCTGATGGCCATTCCAGAAAAAAAGAGTTCCAAAATTACTCGGAAGGGTGGACTTGGCACTGGTGTCTCTGCGTAGTTTCCCAAGGGGAGTCCTTCAAAGGTGATGGTAGGAATATTCAGCAATGAGGGATGTAGCACTTTCTCCAGGGTGAGTTCCCAAACTTGACTGTCTGATCTCTATATTATAGAAAGACGGGAAAACTCCCCAGAGCACATCTATTTAAGATTACAATGACCACTGAATTCATTAACCTAATAAGGAATGTAAAAATAATTCACTTAGGAAAATAATCACCAAAAGTCTTTTGCTTGCAGGCTAATTCATATGAATTAAAACTGGGGGGGGGGGAAAGAAATGTTTTTGTATGATTAAAACTGAATTTCCAAGCATATGTGAATCTTCAGAACCCAGAAAATCTTGTTAAATCCCCATCAGACATGAGATCAGTCAGCTCAGGGACTGACTTCCCTTTAAGGTGACTGCCCCTCTGGGTGAGGAAGGAGCTGTTCCCACCTCCTGCTATGGGGTTCAAAAGCTCTCCGTGAGTCAGTTTCAGGGAGGCATCCAGTCCCATCACTAACCTGTAGCTAAGGAAACCTGGAGGACTGCTCTGTTCCTGTGGCTCTGCGTGCCAAATCTCTGGGTCTGCTTATAACAGAAGATGCCTAGGAAACGATACTCAATAGCCACCAATAATAGCAGGAGGCAGTGACACTTCCAGAGTCCAGACCCAGCACCCTGAGTAAGAGATGAGTGCTGCATTTTCCCCGTCCCTCGGCTCACTGGCTTCCTTCGCCTCCTTTCTCGACTAACATCTAGCACTTTGGAAAACGGCTGTATTTGTCATCACCACGGATGGAGAAGAACAGTATCTTTTCATAAATGCAGAAATGCAGTCTATAGACTTTATAACGAAAATGGCATGAAAGTAGATGCTGGTTCTGAGCAAAACATTGCACAGCCTATTGTGAAGCGAAAAAACGATGCTTTTTCTTCAAAGCATGTCACTTGATCCCACGATTATGGAAGTGAACGTGCAGGCATAGAATAGACATGACAGATGCATAAATAAGGAAGCACAAGTGGAATTCTAGGTGATTTTTTTTGTTTCTTTTGGCTTGTGTTTCCCAAATTCCCTTTGCTATATGTGCATTACTCTTACAAAAGAACTTTATATTTTTTAAAACTACACTCTCTGTCTTGAATAACTAAATAATTACCTGGTAATAATCGTGGCAACATAGGAATATAGCAGGTAAGAAGGAAGAAAAGAAAGAATATAGATTGATTTTAAAATAAGAATAAATGCTTTTTTTTTTT